GAGGCCTTTGGCCTGAAGGTCCAGCACCTGTGTGCTGTGTCCGGCTGAGGGAGGGTCTCAGCCCCGCTCACCTGTGCAGCTCCTGCTGGGCCCCCCGGATGGCCACCACGGCCTCATGCAGTGTCTGCAGCCGTCTGGCCTCCTTCCCACACCGTGCGCACAGGCTCCCACAACCTGAGGCCAGTGGGGGTGGGGGTGAGCTGAGGCCCAGGGCCAAGGGAGGGGGAGCTTGATGAGGGAAGGGGCACTCAGGGCAGACAAGGGGCTAGATCACAAGTATGCGCCCCTCCCGCTTCTCCCTCTGCACCCCTGCCAGCTAAGAAAGGTGACTTCCCCTGGCAGCAGGGCAGGGTGGGGGTGGGGGTGTCCCCAGCCTGGATGTGGTAATGTACGTGTTGCTGCTACCACAAGGTCCACTGTTGAAAGAGTCTCTACTTCTGTCAAGAGCTACAGCCTGGGAAACCACAGGGGCAGTTAGGCTCTATGCTCTAGGGGGGCTGGGATTTCTGTTTCACCTGGGAGATGCCCCCTTTTCTCCCTTCCTCCTGAGGCTGGGTCCCACAGGGTCCCTGGAGGTGCAGGGGTGGGGCAGAGCAGGGGAGGGGCTTCCCAACGCTGCACAGCTGGGAAAGGGCATCCCTGGATCTCCCACCCAGGCCATCCCCGACCTTGATTTCCCTCCCAGCCCGCCAGCCTCACCTGGAGGGGAGTCTGAGTCAGCGTCTGAGAGCTCTGGGCAGGACTCCGGCGTGGAGCCACTGCTCTCGGGGGTCTGGCTGTGGCTGGACGGCTGGTCGCTGGCCTTGCGGAGTGAGCGGTTGAGGCCAGACCTCTGCAGGCAGAGGACCCTTGTAAACAAGCAGCCCCCAACCCCACCCCACATTCCCTCCTGCCTTGGAGGGGCGACAGCACCCAGGGCACCCCCTGTGCACAATGGACAATTCTAGAAGGGTCTACATGCAGAGCTAGCTGGTCGGGGCTGGGCTTCGCCTGGCAGTGCCTCAGTTTCCCCATTAGTGATGATAAGCGACTGACTCCAGGTGCACAGAGGAGGCGTGTGCTAACGCAGAAGGGTGGTAGTGGAGGTGGTCTGGCTGTGAGCCAGTGTGGCAGGGTCTGAGGGCTGGTCCGAATCTCTGGGACCCGCGAGTGGAAGAAGTCCCCCAGGAGAGTAGTGCGCCCCCTTGCCGGGCGCGCATGCAGCCCTCGGGTTACTGGGAATAGTGGTCAGTCCTCCTGCCCCGCGGCCAGGATCCCAGAGCGCGCTCAGCGGCGGGCGCACGCGGCCCCTGGTGGCTGCCGCCTGCATGGCCACGGTTCCCAGCTCCCAGCGGTCGCCCCGCCCCACGCCACCCCAGCCGCCCCCTGCAGTTTGTCTGAGTTGCCTCCCTGCCAACCTCCCCCACCCCGCACGGCCCCCTCCCCATGCGCACCCCAACCTCCCAGGCCCTCGGGAGACAAACCCTGGCTCCTCCCCGACGTGAGGGGCGCGCAGTGGCATGCGCAGGGGCTGACCTTGTGCCCGGGCCCAGGGCTGTGCAGGGGGCGGCTCTGGTGCGCCCCCCTCCGCAGCGTGTGCAGAACACAGTCCTGCTCAAACTGAGCGACGTCCTTCTCGGGGTCCCAGGGGCTGTGGCTAGAGGCCGGAGGGCGGTGGTCAGCTGAGGCGGGGGCCCTCGGGAGAGGCGACCATCCCTGCTCTCAGCCCCGGACGCCCCCAGAGGTATCATGGCAGGATCCCTTGTGCTGGCTGAAGGACCCCTGTCTGGCCGCACCCCCTCCCTCGTCTTCCAGGGCGAGGGGCTGAAGTGGGGGGTGTGGTGGGCGGGGTGCAGTGGGTGGGCACAGCGCTCACTCCTCGTGGAGGTAGCGCCACTCATGGGTGGCGGGGTCCAGGCAGAAGAGCCTCGGTGTCCAGGGCGCGCACGCCTGCTGGTGCCTCAGGGTGCGCCTCCGCTGCGCCTGCTCCAGGACGAACTTCTCCTGGGTGGCCCTCTGCTGGTCGCCCTCGTTGATGGCCCTGCTGACCTGCAGCCAAAGCCTAGGGCCAGACATTAGACTCAGACCCAGGCTCAGAGTTCGGGGCTTGGTCGCCACTCTTGACGGCAAGCTCACTACCCCTTTCCTACACTGAGCCCTGGGAGGCCGGTCATCTTGCCGTGATGAGTCTGCAGAGCCCGGGCAGTGAGGGCCAAGCTGCTCCTCTCCAGCCCCGTTCTGCAGCCCCCACCCCCTGTCATCTGCCCCGAGGGTCCGACTCTGTGGCCTCACCGCTCGGACTCCAGCTCCGACTGCTCCTCCAGCAGCACCGTGTGGTGCGCCAGCCTCTGCGCGCGCACCTCCACAGGGTTCCAGAAGAGCTCGGGGACCCCGCTGCCCTCCTCCTTGATGAAGACTTCTCGGTCCTGCCAGGAGGTGGCGGGTCAGCAGCGAAGGACCGGCGCTGCAGAGCCCCGCCCAGTGCCCCGCCCACCCTGGCGTGGCTTACCCAGTGGCCAGAGAGCCTAGCGAGCACCTCCTCTCCTGCGGTGATCTGGCCAGAGATCTGGTTGATGGTCGTGCTGCCCCCAAAGAAAGGCTGCAGGGACACCGGGCTCTGGTCAGGGCTGTGCCCTCAGGGCAGCAGCAAGGAGGGACACGGAGGAGGATGAGCTCAGCACAGAGGGCTGGGGCTGGACCCTCAACTCGTTGTGGACTTGCTCGTTGGCATAGCGGCTTGTGGTCAAGGTCACCAGGGCTCCTGGCCTTTAAGCTTCTCACCCCAACCCCCTCCAGTCCTATGTGGAAGCCTTATGTGCACATGAGGGGGCCCCTGGGTGAGGGCAGGGCCAGTCTACCTTCAGCTTGAATTCCAGCTCTGCTCGGAGGTTGTTCTTGCTACACTCAATGGTCACTTTGCCGCCCAGCTCCATGGTCATGGTGCCATAGAGAATGCCTGAAACACAGCCGGGCAGAAGGTCAGGGCTCACCCACACAGTAGTGCTGATCTGTGTCAGAACAGGAGTGGGGTCAGGGTGGGGAGAGGCTGGCAGCTCTGCCCCCCTCATGGTTTCTTCTCAGGCCTCTCTGTGCTTCCAGCTTCTGCAAAGCAGTGTCCACTCTGCTCACTGCTGTGTCCCCGGGACATTTGGCAGCCCCAGCATTCCTCACTGGCCCGGGGTCCAGCAGACACTTGCATCCCTACAATGGAGCCCAGGGCCCACCTGCTCAGAACAGCAAGCACCCCATGGTCAGTGGGCACCTGCATTCCCAGGACAGTGCCCGGAGCCCACTGGGCTTCAGGCTAAAGACAGGGCCCAGAATCTAGGGGCACTCCCATGCCCAGAATGGCACCTGGTGTCCAGCAGAGACCCGAGTCTGCAGGATAGTGCCCGGAACTCAGTGGCTACCATGGGCTGAGTGGTGCTGGCGTGGTCTTTGAATCAGGACAGGCTCTTTTCTAACGATAAAGGGAGCAGAGCCTTCCCTTTCTGGCTGTGAGGCCACTCCTGCTCGAACACCCCCAGAGAGCTGTGCTAAAATGGTTCCCACTCAAAAACGGGGGGGAAAATCTATTTGTATAGCAATGAACTAGCAGTCCCCTGTCCACCACCATCCCACCCCCCTCACCTGTCCCCACCTGGAGAGGCCAGCTGACTAGAGGTACAGGTGGGGAAACCAACTTGGGGGAGCATGGAGGGGCTCTGGGAGCCACCTTCAGGTGGCAGGGCATCCTCTAAAGCAGGGGTGTCAAACTGGTAGCCCATGGGCCACATGTGGCCCCCAAGGCAATTTTTTGTGGCCCATGATGCTCTGGAATAAAATGTAAGGAGGGAATTGTGTGTATGGTATTGCCTCGATCTCCCTTAAGCACTCTTTTCTTCATAATTTTTCTATTTTCATTTTATTTCAGAGCGTCATGGGCCACAAAAAATTACCTTGAGGGCCGCATGCAGCTGCCAGTTTGATACCCCTGCTCTAAAGCGAGAGAAGACCCCTAGAGGGAAAGTGTTCAGGACCCCACCTGTCGGCAGGCTCCCTCCCAGAGGCCAGGGTTGCTGGGCTCTGTGGACCATCTCTTAGGTACTGCTTTGACTGTGGAGCCTGGTCAGGGTCTCACATAACCTTCAGACAGAACTAAATGAAACAGCAACTGACTCCTGACTGCACAGGGCCAGTTTGAAAGAAGGCAGGCGCAGAGACCACTGTGGGCAGGCAGGCGGGCATTTGATGAGGCCCTGGGGCAGAAGAAGGTACTGGTAGGATGGGAGCAGAAGCCAAATTCTTTGAAAACCACATTCGCTGTGCCTCTGAGACCGGGGACTCCTGGGACCAAAGCCTGGGCCTATTCTTCAAACCTTAGACCGACATAGTCTCTGAGCGCACGCAGAGAGTGGCTTTCAAAATAAGGCCTATGGCCCATGAGCAGTCTCCTCGTGCACAAAGCCGCCTAAAGATGACCAAACTCAAACACACACCCCCCACCCCACCTGCTATCCCATCGCTTCTGGGCAGAACTAGCACCCCAGGGCAGAACTAGCACCCATGTGGGAGTCAGAGAAGGTGACTCTTTATGGGAGTAGAAAGCCTCGACTTTCTCCCGAGGAGCAGCTGGTGGTTTCAAACTGCTGACCTTTTGTCTTGCAGCCCAATGTGGAACCCCGACGCCACCAGGGCTCCTACAGCTGAGGACATCAGAATTATTCTTCTTTGAAATGTGAAGAAGCCTAAAGCAACCTGTGAAGGAGATCCCTACCTTGGAATGAGTGAGACCGTCGAAGATACAGATGGCAAGACATGCTGTCTAGGGTGAACGTCCGATTCCTCAGGGTGGGACGGTGGGAGACACCGAAGAAATGGGATTGGTGACTTGCTGTCCCGTGGGTGCAGGAGGGCTCATTGTCTGCCTCGGCGTGTTGGGATTTGCCATAATAAAAGTTTATACCTGTGTCTGTGTCTTTCAAATGCATCGGTGACCATACAAGAAAGTAAGGGCAAGCCCAAGGGAGAAAGGCCGAGCAGACACAGCTGCAAACACCCATGAGCAATCCGAACACGGAATGGGTGACAGCTGAATCCAGGGAAGTCATCGAAAATGAAGCGGAGGAGACAACGGACAGTGTCAGATCACATGTACAGATGTGGTTGATACGACTGTGTATGGAATGCTATAAGAGCTGTAAAGTGATTTAAAAATATGAAATGGAATGCATGAAGAGTGAAATCCTAGGCATGAGTGAGAGGAAATGGGCTGTCATCGACAAAATTGGGGCTACTCTGAGGGGAAGGACGCATTAGAAGGAACGGCACCCCGTTGGTGATTAAAACGTCAACGAGAGAACCATATCCGTACAGTTCAACAGAGAGCAGTTCAGAGGCCTGGTGTTTAAATGTACGCACCAAGCACTAATGCCACCATGAGGAAACAAAAGACTTTTTTGGTTGCTGCCTTGACAGATATTGGCGATTGGAATGTGAAAGTCAGAAGCAAAGAAGGATTTCAAACCCAAACCCAACTCACTGTGTGGTAGTTACATAATCTGGTGGCAATTTGAGGATTCAGAGGGCTCCAGCCTGTCAATGAGGTCTCTGTGTGGACATGGCCTTCTCCTGAGGAGGCTTGGAACTCCTGTCTTCCTCCTTGGAGGTGGGAGACACTCTCTTTCTCCTCACTCCCTGGGAGACATAGCAGCTGACAAGACCTCTGGAGCTGGAGAAGCCATGTGGAGACCCCTGCCAGTGCTGATATGCTGTAACACCACTGGATCCACAAGACTTCCTACCCACTGGCCTGTGATCTTCCTGAACTTGGCGTCATTGCATATGCTGCATGAGTCGGAAGAGGGCTTTATAGATTGATATTGGACATATGGGCTAATATCAGACTTATGGACTTGATCTGGACTGGGCTGGCATATTTTCTCAATATTCAACCGCTCAATATTCAAATGCACTTTCTTCTACACATATGCATCTCCCTGGATTTGTTTCTCTGGTCTACCCAGACTGACACACACACACACACACACACACACACACACACACACACACACACACTGCCATTGAGGAGATGTTGACTCATGCAACTCTATAGAACATGGTAGAGCTGCCCCTGTGGGTTTCTGAGACGGTAACTCTTTACTACAATAGAGAGTCTCAGTGCCCCTCAAGTAGCAACTGGTGGTTTTGAACTGCTAACCTTGTGGTTAGTACCAAATCCATGACCTACTACATACCCAGGGCTCTAGAGAAGAAGGCTTAGCAGTTGGAAAATATGGCCTCGGCGATGGAAACGAAGCCAGAGTTAGCAGGATAGACCGTGGCAAGAGCATGAACTGTGGCTGCATAGGTGAGCGTCACCTGGTGGGATACACAGGAATCAAATCAATCACCTACATCTGCAGGAAGATGACAGAGACGCTCAATACCATCAGTCAGAGCAAGGCCCGGGGACAACTGTGGAGCAGACCATCGATGCTCACATTCAAGTTCAGGTTGCAGCTGAAAAAAATGAAACCAAGTCCACCAGAGCCAAAAGAGAACCTTGAGTGTATCCCACCTGTGTCCAGAGATCACCTCCAGGAACAGACCCGATGCATCTGACATCCACGAGACAGGGACCAAGGCACGTTGTGAGATGACTTACGAATACCACACCCAAAGAAACCGAAAATCCCTTAGAAAGACGGGGAGGTCCAACAGGGATGTGAGAAGAGACTCTGAACCTTGCTCTTGAGAGCAGCGTGGCTGGCGTGAGCGGAAGGAAGAGCGAAGGAGGGGCCCTCAGAAGAGAAGATGTTAAAGGGCAGCTCAAGGCGAGAGTCAAGACTCAGAATAGTGTATGAAGATTTGATGCTACAACACCGAAAGGAAGGACCCACCCTGGGCATTTCTGGAGCTGAAAGAAATGAAGAGAAAATTCCAGCCTAGAAGTGAGATCTTGAAAGATTCTACGGGCAAAATCCAGACCACGGAAAAGCAGCATCATACAAAGAGGGAAGAAGCGCACAGGCACGCATCACAAAGCACGATCCGATTGTGGCCGTTACACAGTCTGCTGCCAACTTGAGACTACAGAGAGTGAAGGGGTGGAGTTCAGCCTGTCCACCAGGTCTCAGCTTGATGACCTCATTTGGAGGCGCCATGGAGATACATAGCCCACTGGAGGCGGGACAGACACACACTCCCTGCGAGACATTCCTGCTGACAAGTCACATGGAGCTATGCTAGAGTCCTGGAGCTGGGGGAGCCATGTGGAGACCCCTGCCAGTGCTGAGATGCTTCCACCACCACTGGATCCGTAAGACTTTCCACCCAATGGCCTGTGATGTTCCTGCATTTGGCATCACTGCATGGCTGCATGAGTCTGAAGAGGAATTTATGGATTGGTATCAGACATATGGGCTAATATCTGATTTATGGACTTGATCTGGACTGGGCTGGGATATTTTCTCAATATTCAATTGCTTTTGTAAATAAGGTTCTTTCTTATACACATGTGAGTGTCACCCTGGGTTTGTTTCTCTAGTCAATCCGGACGAACACACCAATGTGTCACCATTTCAGTAAGTAGCACTTGATCAAGAGCCAACGCTACTGAAGGACCAAGTCCAAGCTGTGCTGAAAAAACAGGTGGCAAACAAGGCCCCAGGAACAGCTGGAATCCCAAAGCAGATGTTTCCAAACACAGAGACAGGTGACCGCTCATCTAGGCCAAGAACTTTGCCAGACAGCTAGCTGGACGCCGACTGGAAGAGAGCCACCTACGTGCCCGTTCCCCAGTCAGGTGATGACACAGAATGCCAAACCGGCCGAGGGATCCCATGAGCGTCACACGCGAGTATTGCCGCAGGAAATCGGCAGGAGCTGCCAGAAGGTCAATGCAGATTCAGAAGAGGGTGTGGCATGTCGGATCTCCTTGTTGGTATCGGCTACATCTTGGCCGAAAGCAGAGACTGCCAGAAAGATGCTCTTCGTTGGCTGTGACTGTGTGAGTCCTAACAAGTGCGGATGGCGTTGCAGGGATGGGAATTCCAGAGCACTTGATTACACGCCCAGGGACCGGTCCATAGGAACACTGCATGGCTGACACCAGTCCATAGGAACACTGCATGGCTGACAACGGTCCATAGGAACACTGCATGGCTGACACCGGTCCATAGGAACACTGCATGGCTGACACCGGTCCATAGGAACACTGCATGGCTGACACTCAGGAAAGGTGTGCGTCAGGGTGGTAAGCTCTCACCATACTTATTCGATCCATATGCTGAGCTAGTGACCGGGAGAAGCCGGGCGCTGTGAAGAGGAAGAGGGTCTGGAGATGACCTTGCTTGCTGAGAGTGAAGGGAACTTTGAATCCTGATTGAGAAAGGCAAGACACCACAGCCTTCCATATGGACTACACACACACACACACACACACACACACACTCCTCACGAGACCAATAAGCCACATCATGAGAGACTGGAAAGAGATGGACGGTGTCAAAGAGCTCATTTTACTTGGTCCCGCAAGCAACACGCGTGGATATGGCCGTCAGGAAATCAGAGAAGGGATTGCATGGGGCAAGTCCACTGTCACCTGTCTCTCTCACGTGCTCAAAGGAGAAGAGGCCGCTTGGAGACCAAGGTGTGCCGACCCAAGCCACGGTGCGCCCCAGCGCCTCGGATGCATGGGAAAGCCGGGCGATGACCGGGGAAGACCCAAGAAGAATCGGTGCTTTGGAATCGGGTGCTGGTGAGGCTTTGGAACAGACCACGACTGTGGGGAGAGAGCACAACATGTCCTGGGAGAAGCCCTGTCAGAATGTAGCTGACAAGTCGGAATGTTGAGACTTTCTTCGGGTGCTTGGAACACGTCGTCCGGAGGAGCCAGTCCCTGGAGAAGGACGTCGTGCTTGGCAAAGTAGAGGGTCCGTGCCATAGAGGAAGGCCTTCAGTGAGCAAGACTGACCCAGTGGCCGCCACAACCGGGCACAGGCATAGGACTGACTGTGAGGCTGCAACGGGGAGGCACGGGGCTTCATTCTGTGTGTATAAGAGTCGGGACTGTCTCGACGGCACCGAACAAGAGCGAAGGGGTTTGACCGATAGAGTCATCTACTTCACAGACAGTGACTGAGCACTCATGAAGGAAGGCACTGCTCTGGGCAGCGCAGATGCTGGACCCAGCAGATGGCAATATTAGAATCATCAGAGAAAGGGACCAGTAGGCTCACAATATGTGAAGCCATACGAGAGGGAGTTGGCAGCATGATCAGGGAACCAGGTGTCTGCATGAAATCACATTGCATGCTTTGAAGTAGCACCAAGCAGAACTTACCTGCAAAATAAGATAACAACACCAAACATGCCAACAAGACTGGTTCTGTGCCTACGTTAACCATCAGGTAAATCAGAGAAGACAGATTAAATACAATTCAAAGAAATAAATGAAAAATCGAGATGGTTTAACTCACATCTAATTAGAATGGACATGTGGTCAGAGAGACCCGTCCCTGCAGAAGGACGTCATGCTTGGTAGAGTGCTGGGGAAGGCCCTTGAGGAGATGGACGGGCACCGGGGCTGCCGCCATGGGCTCAGGCACGGGGCAGTTGGGAGTGTGCGGGCGGCGTGATGCTCTGTTGTGCATAGTAGGGTCACTGTGGAGAGGAACCAAATTGGCAGCACCTAACGCCAAGAACTGGAGTTTTAGAAGAGAGGTACGGAGGAGCCAGGTAGTGCTTTTTTCAAAAGATGAGAACGTTTCTAGACGTGTGGGGAAGTATGCTGGGTGGGGCAGCATCTGCGGAAAGAATCTGGAGATCATTCAAACCGACCCAGCAGGACCAGCTAACTCAGCAATCAACTCCACTTTTCCCTGAGGTCAACACTCAAGAGGTTTGAAAGCAGAGACACAAACAGGTTCACAGCAGCGTTCGTCACAGGCACCAAGAAGGGGACAGGCCTCACGCATCCACCAGCAGATGACTGGACACAAGGTGGCCAGGCTGTCCCATGGAGCAAGACATCACAGGGAACAGTGCCCGACACCGGCTGCCACCTGGATGGACCTTGAAAACACGAGGCTGAGGGAACCACGCCTAACACCAAGGGACCAGTGTGGTCTGCTCCCAGGCAACAGCCCCGAGATCGGAAGTCTCTAGAAGATGCAAATGCAGAGACAGAGAGCAGACTGGTGGGGACCAGAGGCTGGGGTAGGAGGGGTGGAGAAGGAAAAGCCAGTCTTCTCCAGTCAAGAGCTGCAGTGAAGGAAACCCACAGGGACAGCTCTTCTCCGTCGGACAGGTTGTTAAGAGTTGGCATCAGCTCCATGGTGGAGGGTGTGTTTTTCAGAAGAGGGACAAGGAGTGGAGAGTTACTGCTTAGTGGGTACAGAGCTTCTCCTTGGGCGAAGAAGTTTTGGAAAATTCACAGTGGTGGTGGCTGTACAATATCACGAAGATAACCATCACCCTTCCCGATGGCTGAAGTGGCAAATTCCATAGAGATTTTGTTACAATTAAAAACAAAACAAAACCAGACCAGTCGAGAAGGGTCCGCTCCCCATTTGTTTTCCAGGCTTAATAAAAGTCCTAAAGCTTCAGATTCGAAACGTCTGAAAGGAAGACAATGCACACAATGGAGGAGGCACGCGACGTCGGGGACACCAGAGACAAAAAGAACATGGTAACCGCAGCTACGAGACAGGCAGATCCCCCAACCCAGAGACAGGGGGCCAGGGGACCTCCATCCCCGGGGAAGTCAGAAGGCAGTAGTAAGAATATCTTCAAAGAAGGTAGAAAATGCAGTCCCCCTGGAGTTACCTACCCAGCTAAACTATCATCAAGTCCAGTAGTGGAAGTCAAGTTCTCCCAACGATCCCACACCACAGGAGTTCACTCCCTCAACATGCTCACTGAGGACGGGCCTTGGGCTCAGCCCTCCAGAGTGTGTGTGTGTGTGTGTGTGTGTGTGTGTGTGCTGTGGGGGGTGGGGGGAAGCCCAGTCCCACCTCTCACCTTTGCAGTGGGCGTAGGGCATGGTGATGGTGTAATCCTCCGCCCGGTTCAGGAAGGTGAGTGTGGCTTTGCCGTCCAGCAGAGCAGACAGCGAGTTCCCTGCAGAGCAAAGGGAGAGTGGGTCCAGTGAGTGGAGACAAACTTTGGGGGCCTGGTGGGGGAGGGGGCACCATCAAATCAGACTCTGGGCTCTCTTCCACAAAGGAGTCCTAGCGCCTGTGAGTGAGCTCGTCTCTTAAGCTTTCTGAGGTTCTGGTTCCGTGAGATCCCTGTCCAGTGCTGATGGTCATCTGTCCTGGATGAATTATCTAAGTGGTCAATGTTTAGACACCTCTGTAAGCGCTCTCTGCTCCACTGAAGGGTGACCATCTCAGAAACCCACACGGACAGTGTGATCCAGTCCTACGATTGCTCTGAGTCTATGGCAGTGAAAAGAAGTGCCCGGCTGCTCGCCCAGAGGTCACCTGCTCAAACCCACCAGCTGCTGCACAGGAGGAAGAGGTGGCTGCCGGCTTCCATGAAGACCACGCACAGCCTGGAGGCAGTTATGCTCCATCCTCTCAGATCACCAGGGCTCAGGACCTGCTTGGCAGCAGCAAGTTTGATCATGGGTGCAGAGCCAAAAATCAAAACCCGCTGGCAGTCAATTCCAGCTCTGAGCAAGCCTAGATAGGCTTTCCAATCTATAAGTTTCGTGGAGCTGATACCTGCCCCCATCTCCCTCTGAGTGGGAGCTGACACC